ACGTCAACATCATCAACAACAACATCATTAACAACAACAACATCATCAACAACATCATTAACAACAACAACATCATCAACAACAACATCAACAACAACATCATCAGCAACGTCAACATCATCAACAACAACATCATTAACAATAACAACATCAGCAACAACAACATCAACAGCATCAACATCAACAACATCAGCAATAACAACAACAATAAATACATTGAGGATGCTAAAATAAACCACTTTAACAACAATAACATTCACTACAATATAACCGACAATAAAAACAACAACGTTAACTACATGTTCCACAGCAAAACTTCCAGCAATGAAATTAACAACAACAATAACAACAACAAAATTAAGAATAACAAAAACAACATCAATAATAACAACGTCATCAGCGGTGGTGCAACAAACTGTTCAAATGTAGATGATACAAACAACAACACAAACAACAACAACAACACAAACGACAACATGCAGCAGACAACGAACAACAACATGCAGCAGGCAACAAACAAACGAACGTTACAAAGAACATCGTCTACAAACAAACGCAATCAAACTAACAACAACAACAATAACAATAACAGCAGCAACAACAACAACAATAACAACAGCATAAGCCATCGTAAAAACAACGACCACGATCATGTTGACAATGATGATGATAGTGATGTTGAAAATGGAGATGACGTGGACGCTGATGACGTCACTTCGACTCTCCTCTATCCTTCCTTCGTTCCAGTGGCATTCAAATTTTTCCACCAATCAACGGCGCCCAGGTCCTGGTGCCTAAAAATAATAACCTGGAAATATCCTTTTTTATTCTATGAATAATTAATTAGGAAATTAATATTCATGAGGCATTCACGTGATGCGTTTTCTTGTTTCTGGTTGGTTGTATAATTATAGAATCATAAATCACGTGCAAGATGGAATAATGGGGAGGTGAAATGTACGCGTTCGAAGATGAAATGATGGTGGTGGTAATGATGCTGATGGGGGTGGTGATGATGATGATGTTTGTTTGATGTAAAGATTGATGATTTCTATTTTATAGATGAAGACGAGCCTGATGATGATGATGATTGTTTTTGTAATGATGATGAAGAGGGTGATGACGATGATAGTGGTGCAGTGGTGAGCTGTGGTTGATGGTTGAGATAATTTGTAAACGTACATTGTACACGATGCTCCAACATGGAGTTATTATTTTATTTTGTTGTAAGTGAGTAGGTGGGTGGGTGGGTGAGTGAGTGAGTGAGTGAGTGAGTGAGTGAGTGAGTGAGTGAGTGAGTGAGTGAGTGAGTGAGTGAGCGAGTGAGTGAGTGAGTAATGTATGATAAGAAAAGATTAAGTCCCAGTTCAGTGCGGTGGTTGTCCACGGTATGAATGCAGTGTAGCGAGTGGCAGAACTCATCGGTGGTCGTTGAATTCTGAATAACTAACTGAAATGTTGTTTGACATACGCAAAATAATTATATATAAATATCCATTTAAACGTCCAAATATTTTTTATGTTTGTTTATTTACTCATTCATTACAACATTTATTTATCTCTCGTCCATCCATTCGTTCATATTATTGGATCCTTTCTACTTCACATACACACACAAATGCAAATTGCAAACTAACCAAAACGTACACTCTCACTCTCACATACTACAAATGCAAACACACACACACACACACACACACACACACACACACACACACACACACACATGCAACACATTCATGCAAGCACACACACACAGTACATTTACATTTTAAATCCAACATTCATCGGCCGCATCACCAAGCCATCGTCTGCAATCATCCATCCAGGTATTGGAATATTGATATACGCATGTGTGTTTGTACGTGAATACAGTGTACACCGTGTGTTTGTACGTGTACAACGTGTGTGTAAATGTGCAAACTCACACACACACATACGCACACACACTCGCACATATTCTAAATATCGCGTCAATTAAGCAATTAGCAGTTGGTTTGATTCCTGTTCAGTATGAATAATAACGTGTGCGTGTCAGTCAATGCATGAATGTCACCAGGTGGCAGGTGAGGCTGACAGTTGCGTTCAATTTATCAGCAAGTACAAAACAATATTTATTGCTACTGAATGTTGAATTACTAACTTTTCAAAAGTGTCACCTGAACCTCACTGAAAAGCAAAAAACTTCATCAAGTAGTTTCAGCAACCACGAGCAACATTTCTAACTCTACACGAGCTAACGAGCACCAGTTAACGGCATGAAAGAGACATGTAGTTTTTCGGATGACAGCTTCAGCATCTACTTTGTCCAGCTTATAATTAATCATGTCTTGCCACCTTCAACTCACAATTATAAATCTCTCCATCAGTCGAGCTACATTTCGTGCATTATTTTCAAATAGCAAAAGTAATTTAGACATATAAAAGTAGAAACCAATAGGAAACAGGCAACTGTAGAAAACCCATTCATCAATCATTGCCTCACTCTTGAGTTATCGAAGAACTGATGAAATACTGCTCAACATTTTTTCCAACATTCATTCATTCATTTCTATTAAAATTTGCCCGGATAGATTTGACAGAAATAAATTCATTCAGTATGCGAATTTCATCCAGATTAGGTAATCGAACTTATAAATCATAATATGAGGACGAGTGCACAAGTACCAAAAATGATGAGTGAGTGCATGAGCACCCAGTGCACTCGAATGTTCCATGGTCTGGTCATGGCATTCTAGCGGATGTTTGCATATGATCATTAAGTCTTGACGGGTTGGATGGATGGATGGATGGATGGATGGATGGATGGACGTACGGATGGATGGATGGATGGATGGATAGATGGATGGATAGATGGATGGATGGATGGATGGATGGTATATAGATAGACAGAAAGAAAAATGAAAAAGTGTATGAACGGATTGATAAATGAAGTGATTGATTGATTGATTGATTGATTGATTGATTGATTGATTGATTGATTGATTGATTGATTGATTGATTGATTGATTGATTGATTGATTGATTGATTGATTGATTGATTGATTGATTGATTGATTGATTGATTGATTGATTGATTGATTGATTGATTGATTGATTGATTGATTGATTGATTGATTGATTGATTGATTGATTGATTGATTGATTGATTGATTGATTGATTGATTGATTGATTGATTGATTGATTGATTGATTGATTGATTGATTATTGATTGATTGACTGACTGACTGACTGATTGACTGACTAATCGATCGATTGATTGATTTGTGAATTAGTGGATTGATGAATTGTTAGGCAAAAATGTGAATGAATAAATGTTGATAAATAACTTGAAAAATCGAATGAGTAGACGCATGAATGGGAAATAAAGTAAAGGGAACTCATAAAATAATAAATAATCAATATTTATGCAAATTATTATAATTAATTTATGCACGATATATTAAAATACGTATATACGTTTGAAAAAAATTGGCCGATTAAAACAGTAAAAATAATTTTATTTGTTTACAAACAAACTTTGATGAATAGTTAGGTATATAGAGAATAATTTATTGTGATGGAAGCAAACGCGGTCTGTTTTTCGCAAAGGTTTCACTGGGCAACTCAGGTTTGCGCCAAACTTGATAGTGTGTGCGTGTGTATGTGTGTGTGGTGTGTGTGTGGTGTGTGTGTGTGTAGTGTTGTGGTGTGTGTGTGGTGTGTGTGTGTAGTGTTGTGGTGTGTGTGAGTGTGTGCGTACGCACCGCACGGTCATATAGAACAGTTTTAAATTTATTTTATTACCACATTCCTGTTGCCAGCTAAGCTGTCGCTCTCAACAACAAAAGTTAATTTTGCTTTGAAAAAATGAAAGAAGATGAAAGAAGGGTAGTTTTTTTCAATTAAACGAATAGTCAAAAAGTTTGAGGGAATAGTGCCCCCCGTATAAGAGTGAGCTCTCGTGTTGAAAACGTTTTGATAGTTTAAATAAAAATTTAGGATAGTTTAAAAAACTCTATTATATTAGAATATTGGGATAATGTGATGCGAGCATGTTTACAAACGACTGAGTGAAAAACTGAATGAAAGACGCTGGCCTGTGTAGACAAAATTATTCAAGCCAGTTCACGCGTTTTTCGCCCGTGTGTGCAGCCTGGCCCGCCCGTGCAAAAATCTGCTCGTGTGGGGCCCTCCAGTGTCAATAGCGGGAGGAAGATTAGGCGGGCTTTAATTTATGACGCGACACCAACCATTAGAAAATTTTTGCCAGTTCATAAGAACATATATATATATCTAATTGAGCGTAATCGAGGAAACTGTACTTAATTAATAACCATTATTTCATTTATTAATTTTTTAAAGATTGGTTTACTTTTTTCCTAAGATTCGTTGATTGTTTGATTGATTGTTTGTTATTGTTAATTATAGTTAAGGAAGGGCTGATGCAGCGTTACACGTGCATTCATTTCAGCATGCACAAGCACAAACATAAACTGCATAAGCTTGAAATTTCACGTACATGAACGTACACACACGCACATACGCATACACACAATTGCATACTAACATACCTAGAAACACACATACAGAATGAACATGCAGGCACTTACAGATGTTCTGTAATGATGTGCACATCGGTAGACTGGCAAGCGATCAAACCAACAAACTCAAATGATGCAATAAGAGGCATCTTTGATGGCGCGTAATTTAATTTTCCCATCGGATTAACATGCGAGGACAACTCGCGTTCACCTGTCCGTCTCTCCTGTCTCCCTCATTTCCCTCTCATCATCATCATCATCCTTTCTGTATTTGTTTTATAATTTTCAATCCATAAGTCAGGTTTATCAATCAACAATTGCTTGTCAAAATCCTATAGATATGTCTATATATGAAACAAGTCTGTA